CCATTTTACCATAAAGACATAAACATAATTTTTTTTTGCCCAGGAAGATAGCTTCCCCCAGTCCCTGATAGTAAAGATAAGGAAATAGAATTAAAGATAAGTAAATAATAAAGGCAAGGAAACCAAGACCTTGTGAAGTGTCTTCCCAAGCCTGGCGAGAAGCTGGGCCTCCAGAGGAAATGTGTGCTGTTTGCTGTCGTAAAGAGTGATTCTTTAAAATTATTCCTTACGTGGGGATGAAAATCACCTGGAAGACTGTGAAATTAGTTTTAATAATGTCTAATTTTGATATTAAGTCAAAGCACATATAGGTCATGCATTTTCTATACATGTCAACCAAGTCAACTTCCTGTGGATTGTTCACTGTTGTTAGACTTGATGATCTTGGAGCTTGTCCATCGTTAAACATTAGACTGAAAAGGGGCTTTATAACACCCCTCATTAAATGTGCATGTGCTGGGCTGTAAAGATTGAGGAATGTGGAGACCAGAATAGCTGTGTGACTTGGCCAAGGTCAAATATGTTCAGCCATTTCAGTTGTAAGGACGGTCGAGCTCGTTGAGAAGTGTTAAGGATTGCTGGCTGCCTTGGCGAGGGTTGAGCCTAGTCTGAACTTGGGGAGACTTGATCGTGGGATCAGGAGGCAGAATCCCTGCCTCCCACACTGGCAACTTTCACCCTTTTTCGTCTTATGGCACACAGAAACTAATTACTAAAATTCTATGGCCCAACCCCCCAAAATGCAACTTTTTTGCCAATCTGACAAAAAAAAATCAGTATAATTTCGATTCATTCATACTGAATGGCTCCCATTGTGTTGGCTGTTGACATTTCTTTCATTTAACAATCTAAGGGAAAGTAGGTCAGTGCCCCCAACTAAATGTTCAGGTATTGTATGTTTTAAAAACTCTGAGGCACTCCAGTGTGCCATGGTCCACAGGTGGAAGATCGCTGTTCTGGGCCATGCTGTTTTCAATTTTTCTTAATCTCAGTTTTCTTATTCATAAAATGGACATAAAAATATATGCCACATCTACTTCATCAAATGGAAGGATATATTAGATAATGTATAAAATATAAATTAAGGAACTTTTATAATTGCTAGTATTTTTCATGAATTGAGAATTGAACTTGCTCTAAGCTAAACCCCACCTTCTGTGGGAGCTGAGTATCCAATTCTATTCATAGTAGATAGGTCAAGGATAGAAAACAAACAACACTATGAACTGATGGTTAGAATCTCTTTTTTAGGGATTTTTTGATGGTTATAAATATGTTGGTTTGACCCTTTGAGTTACTCCCTGCTCTCCGGTGACTTGTAACTGGCGCAATGCAGGTTCCCTAAGTTTTCTCCTTTAAATTCTTTAGTTATGTGTAATGTTATCACTTATGCTCTTGATTTTCTGAAATTCTCCTTGTTAAAATACTATTCACAGGAGACATCTGACAACCAAGAAGTCTTTTCAGGTCATTCCAGTGAGTTCCTAATGGTTATTTTTTGAAGGCAGGAAGTCACAAATTGCCACGAATAAAAGAACTTGAAAGCACAGAAGTGTTTTCTGGTCTTCAAGGGACTGATTATATTTCTGAGTGGATGACCCCCGATTTGATTGAAATAACCTGGTGTGCATTTCTTACATTTGTGATGTAGGTAACTTGATTATACATTCTGATTGATAGCTCAAATAATTGATCTGATTAGCCTAAATATTTTATGAAACTCTGATTAAGAAATGTATTTTACCTCTATAAACTGTTTTTACCTAAGCTGTGGGTCTTGACTCTGAGATTACTATTTTAAGGCTTTTGTAAGTAGCTTATGTCATGGGTAGCCCTAACTACTCTGGGAGTTTTAAAAAATGTATAAAATATGATATTAATTTTATTTCCAAATTATGATGTCTAAGAAACAACTGAGAATGAAACATTATGTGGTGCATCCATGTTATTGCAGATGTGGGCTTCTGCCTGTACTTTGTGTATAACAGTCACTCTGTTTTGGGAGGGATTGAGAATCTAGGAGCACAGAATATTTCCTGGGAAACAAATAACTGTCTCGGGAAATCTTCCTCGTGGGCAGATACTGCCTGTACCTCCATGGACTTGCCCATTTCTTTCCCAGTAACCCTGGGTACCCCAGGACTGTCCCAGTCTTCTTGGGTCCGTCTCTTTTCTGGCTTCCTATAAGACTTACAAGATTATATGTAGCGATGTGGAAAACTGTATGATAATAGAGACAAGTAGTCTCTGATTATTTGTAAATGTGGCCAGTTTCCTCTTGTTCCCCATGGTGTACTTCAGTATTTCCCAGAATCTAGCACACTATTGGGCACATAGTAGGCACTCAGTAAACAGGTAATTGATCAACACTAACTGGGAAACTTCTCCAGGTCTGGGATTCTGTTTCAAATTACCTACACAGTACCTCATAGAAGGCCACGTGCTGACAGGTGCTTATTGACTGATTTGGTTGAAACTATAACCAGAATATTCATTCAATTCCTTAACTCCTACAATGATGTGACTTTGAGCCCTTAGTCTTTTTCTTCATTTAAATCACCTGGCCAAAACAGTCTTAAATGTGATGGTTCTAACTGAGGTTGCCTGGGTTATGACTGAAAGTTGCATTAGACAAGATTCGTGGTTCTCTAAGTCATCAGAGAAAGGAGAGATTAGAAAACTTTTCGGTTCAATCCTTCTAGTTGCATGATTAGAAAATAGGTCCATTGTGGGTTCTGTGACTCATCCATGGTTATTCATTCATCTGTTTAATGGTACATTGTGAGTGTCCATTTTATTCCAGATGACATAGTGAATTCAGAGGAGAGCCTCTTACTTCCTAGCTCTCCAGCCATAGCCCTGGTTCCAACCCCAACCTCAGTTCGGCTACTGTTAAATATTTATCACGTAGCAGTTGTATTTTTCCCTCCGCTCTCCTTTTCCAAACACATATCGGGGAAATCAAAGGTCCAAAATTTCTACTGGGCCCTGCTCAGGATGTCTGTTTTCAACTTTTTCATAATCATAGCACTCTACGGCAAGGAGATTTCATAACCTAAAGAAAAAAAAAAGTAGGACAAGACTATTTAAAAAAATCTTGCTGAGAAAGTTTTAGATATTCACAGCATTGTTGATAAGTGAAAAACTGTTGTCATATCACAGAAACAAAATGAGATCGGAAAGTCCACGTGTCCAAGGGTGGGGATTACTGCGCTAGGCCGAGGGCGTGATGACGTCATGGCTCTGCTATTGAAAAGCTTATGCGACCTGCCTAGGAAGGTGACTGGCTCTCTGCAGCAGCTCTCATGTTAGATAAGTAGCTCCACTTTCGCCTGAAGGAGACCAAAATTAGTAGCTACTGTTAGGTCCAGGGTATAAAATTATATGCTCGGACATGTCAAAATAAGTTATAAAACTTTTTTTTTTTGGTGGAGATGGTGACTGCGGATGCGCTAAAGATTGTGGGCAGAGACTTCCCTGTTATTTAGGAACTTGGTTCGGTCCTGCAGGTCCCCAAATGCCTGCAGAAGCGAAGGGTGAGGAATTGGGGAGGATGCGGAGAAATGGCACTCTGTTCCCTGTGGGCTTTGGCAAAGCTGCGGGAGATTCTTGCCAGAAATGCTGCCTAGGATTCACGGGGCCAGAAGGAAAGAAAATGAAAGGTATAGTGGGCTGGGTTGTCCCCTGCTACAGGTAAGTGATGATGGCAGCAAGGTGGCCTGACATTCTGTGCCACCCTTCCCCCACTCTGCTGGTGTCCAGGACAGATGCCCAAGAGGTCATGACCTCTGACAGCATGGAAAAGTCAAGTGTCAGTGTAAGACACTGCTGTTTCCAACCTTTTATTTATGAATATGCTTGTTTCTGGAGGAAGCAAGCATTTGCTAAGGGTGACTGAGAGAAACAGAATCTTAGGTTTGTCTCGAAGTATCCTGTGACCTAAGAAAATTGTCCTAGCTAATCTGAGTTTAGAAAGTTTTAAGAGGTACAACGTTGGCACTGGGCCCCTGAAAAGTAAAGTTTTAAAATTATAGAAAGTTCTCTGGTAGATCCGATGCGGGCCTTCTCCATCAGTCTACACGCTTCGCCCCTCCCCCCTCCAGCAGTACGGAAGACACAGGGGGAAAGGACCATCTGGCCCAGCATGCCCGCTTTTTATTTGGTTGCTCTCAATCCTACCTTCCTGTTTGGATCACCCCTCCCCTCTGCCCATACTTCAGAAACCAATCAAGGTGTCTCCTGAACTCATTTATTCCCTTTGTTTCGACCGCCTTCTTGGGTAACTTTTTCCATATGCTTATATCCTTGCCTCACAATGGATTTTTTTTTCCCATCCAAAATGGCCTGATTGAACTCTTAGGAAAAGCCACTTACTCAAATATATAACGAAATGCTTCTAAAGATCCCAAGCAACGTTTCATTACTTTTGATGACCAGGATATATGTACATGGAGGGAAAATTGCTGTGTTTAAAAGTGACTGACTGATGGGCACGGATGCTGAGTGGATGGAATTCAAGAACCCGTCGTTGTTAGCACTGAATCTGCCCCCGCCCCCAGCCCCACGTGGAATATCTAATCTAGATTTGGAGCTAAAGTCTGTTGTTGTTGTTGTTATTATTATTATTAAGACATGGCCTTTATTTATTTTGTTGCCTCAGTTTGGCTTTGAGCCCTTCAACATGGTGATATTAGTACTCTTTATATTGCCTGTTTTGGACCAATTTTCCTCAGCTGTTGCTAAAACTTACTAAAATGCCAGATGTCATGTTGGAAACACGAAACCTGAAAGAAGGTCATAAATCACAAAAACAAACCATAAAAAAATAATAAAAATACCCTGAGCACTGCACTGTGGAGCTTCCCAGCTTTAAGTGTCCTTTTGTTCTCCTCTCCCCCCCCTCCACGATGCCCCTCCCTCCGCCTCTCGTCTTTTAGGCCCAGGTGTTGTGGGGCGTGCCCCGCAGCTTCTCACCTAAGGCCTGATGGTTTGTTTTGCAGATTCCGAGCAGAGCACTGGTTCAGACTCTGAAGTGCTCACTGAGCGGACCTCCTGCCCCTTTGACACTCACACCGACCTGGGCCCTGGGGCCGCGGGCCCTGTGCCTGCTGCCATGTCTTCCATGGAGGAGATTCAGGTGGAGCTGCAGTGTGCTGACCTCTGGAAGAGGTTCCATGACATTGGAACCGAGATGATCATCACCAAGGCAGGCAGGTAAGGACGAGTTCCTTTGAATGGCCACAATCACAGAACAGAGGCCAAACTTGGAGCTATCACATGGCTTCTTCTTGTTTATTTGTGGGAGGTAGCATCAGTGAAGCCAAAGGCACGTACACTCACATTTTTTACAACTGGACAGCTCGGCAAAGGGATCTTGTGCTTTTTGTGATTTTGCCAATTTTCTCCAAGGGCTACTCAGTCCCTTCCACTCTCACAGGCATTTTCTGTCTACAAATGTTAACACTGGAGGTCTGTGGTAAGGAAGAGCTGATTTCCAGAGCAAGCACTGCTTGGTCATCCAACATTTTCAACAGAAAAAGTTTGCTCCTAAGCAACTGCTAACATCTAAGGCATTTAAAGCAGGCAGGCACTTTTGTAAGAATTTTGGTTTTGATTAGAATTGGCCTTGGTTTATCTTCTAAGCCCCGCTTGTTGATCCATTGTTTTTATTGTGGGCTTGAGATTATTACAGAACTTTAATGGCAACCTGGTGGAAACTCTTGCAAAAGTATTTCTGTAGGATAATAAAAGTTTTTAAAACACAGTTTCTCTTGAAATAAACTTTTCATGAAGCTACTCTTTCATTGGAATGTTTTAATTTCCTTGAAAGATACTGTTTTGTTAGGCATCTATTTGTGTTGGATACTCAAAACATACACTATATCATTTAAAATGGACAGGAACCCTGTGAGGTAGGATAGGATAATTCCGTACGTGGATGAGGATGCAAATGCCAAAAGATGCTAATTATCTCGCCTGAGGCCATGTGGGCAATAAAGAGCAGCTCTGGACTTCTACACAACTCTGTCCAGCTCTGCAGCTATGGTCTCAACTATTTACAGCTCTCCACTGTTAAGAAACAGTTGTAGTTTTTGCCCCCTGGATTAAAATAAAAATGATTTAAGTAAAGATAAATGGGAGCTATGCTTCTTGAGTCGATAGGGATAGTTCATTGAAATTAAAACAGTAAGGCTGCTTTCCTATTTTTCAAGCCAACCTACACAGCCTGTGTCACAGAGACCAGAAAGACCCACCTCAGTGCTCCTAAGCTGTCTTTGTGAACATGGACATTTAAAGTAAAAGAATATTTTGATCAGGTCCAGTGCACATGGATGAATATAGAGAAACCTCCCGATATAAGAAGAAATCATAAAAACATGAGATTAAAATGAACCTGAAATCTTACTCATTTTCTTTCTCTTCTAGTGCCCTCTTCCTTCTCTACATTTTTGCAGTGAATAAAACTATTAAAAGGCTTCCTAGGGGGAGCAAGTTTGAAGGAGCATTATTTTCACTACCACCTCCTTTTTGCTGCCTGGGTTTCAGTCTACTCTTGTCCCTCTATACTGCTGTCTATGTCCAGATATTCCCAGTACAGATATACAGTTTGTTCTTGAGTCATATCCCTTTAGTTAAGTTTAGAACTCACATTCTTTGCTTCTGAATTGGATTGCCTCAGGTGGTGTTGTTGCTACATGTAGCTCTGCTCAAGTCACTCTGGAACAACTCAGAAACATGCAAAGAAGGTTTCCTCCTCTGTGAACTTTGTTCACCCCCTCCCCATTGCCCTAGTTTATTTCTTCCTTTTCACTTTCTTGTCCTTCCTATGTAGTGTCTTTTTCACTTTGAGTTCCAATTCCCATTTTCTTAGTTAACGTTAGCTATGTATGACTCTCTGTTCTTTTGTTGATCGGGAGAGTTTAGTCACCATCTACTCCTCACACCTAAAAAGGTAATCTGGTTGATTCAGAACCACTGCTGTCTGTCTACAAAGCCCTCTGTTTGAAAATACCAATGGAATCTGTGTAATCAGCACCATGGACAGAGGTGCATGTACAGATGAATGAGTCTGGAAGACAAAAGAATTGGCCTAAATTTAGTCAGAAAAATAAAACCAAACACATCTCATGTTGTAAATATAGAAGACAATTTTTTCCCCAGGGTGTTGTAACTTCACTTGATATTCTGGGCCAAAATACTGACAAAAAGGAAAAACAACTTCTGATACATTTTTAAGAAAAGAACTCAAAAATCCTAGAATTCTGAGGCAAGAAGGCACTTTGGAGATTATCTAGTCCCTTTTGTGTTGTAGGTGATTGGGTTAAATGACTTGTCCAAAGTCACATAGCTCATTCACTTTAGAACTTGGGTACTGGGAAGAGACAGGTACCTTTTCTACTCTAGGTCACAAAATGTCCCAGAAAAAACAGGTAACCAACCTAAAAACATGGAACCCCTTTTCTTGAAGTCAACAAGTAAAGAAATTTATGTTTCTTAGTGTAACAAACCTCCACAGATGAACAGAACCACATTTTCTTAGTGAGTGAGAGGACTTTCTCTCCATCTGTAGCAAAATGCTCTCCAGCCATTTATACATACTGGGCAATTACAAGTCATTTCTATTAAGAAAGGAATCACTAATCTATATTTAGATCTATAGATAAAGGTTCTCAAATTTTTGTAAAGAATTAGTGGGTCAAGGTGTCTAACCTATGCCTAACTGTTAGGTTTAGCAGTTATGAGTAGTCCACCATCAAATTTCATTAGCCCACCATAAGACTAAAATATAAGGCTTTGTAATTAAAGTTGTGAGGGCAGAGGGAAAAATCTAAAATAGCATACCAATGGAAGCTTCTGAAAAGTTATAAAGTGGAAAAGAAGGAATTGTTATATATTATTATTTGTAAATGTTTAAGAATTAGCCATCATCCCTGTTAAAGGTCTCTAGTCCCCCTTGTGCTTTACCTAAATATGATTATGATGGCACTAACCTACTATAGAGGGCATTTGCTTTTTAAGTTGCTTTTGGTGGAATGTGTGACTAGCACAGAAAGCTCCTCGTATAAACAACCAGTGCACATTTGCAAGATGGCTGTCTGGGGCCAGGGTATATGGTCTATGGCCATGAAATGGAGCAAAGCCAATTAGGCCATATGTGGATCAAGCCTGTGACCTTGACCTCATTAGCACCGTGCTCTGCCCAGCTCGACTAAATGGCCCCAGATGGTTAAGCTTAACATAGCATTTTGTGTACAAGTACCCTATAGAACATTCAGGGCAATCCAAATTTTTGAACCAAGCACTTTTTATGTCTGGCTCCTAAATGAATGACATTCAAAAAGGAGCTTGATATTTTTCTTCTTTCTTATGGTTAAAGAAGAACAGTGAAATTTATTCTAGACTCCTTGAAACACAATACCTCTTTTGGGTTGCTCCCTCTTCAATTATGAGAGTAGTTGTAAAGTGCCATATCCTGACCTTGCTTGCTTTGGCAAGTTTAACAAGCCATTGTGGTAGAAACAAGGTATTGCCCAGAGGCCATGAGAATTCCTTTGGTATTTGCTCCCTATTCCACAAGGTCTTTCCTCTGACACACATGTTGACAGCCTGAGAACTTGCAGAAATTTTTCTACAGTTTTATGCATTAAAAAAAAAAAAACCTTTGGTGGCCTTTTGTTTGGAAACTGGTAGTGCCTTCCTTCTTCTTTGTCTTGAGACATTATTTTTAGAGTGGTCATTTTTAGATAGAATCAGTCAGAAATATTTCATGATTCAGCAACAATCAACTCTGATCAGCTACTGAGAGATTAAGATGATTATAAGTTATTCAAGTGTATTAAGTTTAAGAGTATAAGTATAGTCAGGATTGTTATAGTCTAATAGGAAATGTATGCGTGGATAAACAACATTACCTACCCACCTACCTACCCACCCAATCACAGTTATAAAGCAGGATATGTTATGAGCCCTTTGAGTGTATGAATCATCAAATAGGTCAATGTAAGTTAAGCCCTCAGCATATTTTATAACGATAATTTCCAAAGTGAAAAAAATCAGCCTACTTTGAGAACTAGAGGACATTGGACTTCATTGTGTTTAAAGTGCCTAATGAGAAGAGACTTTCTGAGCTTTCACTTCTGCTACTGCTGCTCCTCTGACTGCTCAGCTTCCTACTTTATTCCCATGCACAGGAGGATGTTTCCTGCCATGAGAGTGAAAATCACCGGTCTGGATCCACACCAACAGTATTACATAGCAATGGACATTGTGCCTGTGGACAATAAAAGATACAGGTAATGAATGACTCTGGAATGTGGAATTGTGGGTATCATGAGCATTCCTTAACTATCCTTTAAACTCATTTGATGGAGCATTTTACCAGTGCACTTTATAATGAATGCACTGTACAGGGAATAAGGATGGAGGATATGCCAATGGCCTGTGCCAGAGCACCGGGCAGGAAAATTCACCAGAGGCAGGAAATCAGGACTCAATAATGGGTGGGTCTGGAATCCCACTGGAGAGAGTGGGATTGTATAGTGTCTGCCAAGGTAGCAAAAATCAAATAGATTATAAGGCTAAAATTCAGTTAACATCAAAATTGATTAACATATTGAATGGTTTGGTTTATGAATTCTAAGTGAGTTAAAAGGATTTCTTTTGAAGAGGGGCAGGAGCAGTGAACCGGTGTAGTACATTCAATCATATATCTGGTGGATTACCCTGTGGAGGATGGAGGAAAATAGGAGTGTTGGGTCAAGAAGAACAACTAATTAGGGTGGTTTATTATTCATTAATATGGGTTGTAAATGAGTTTTTTAAATAATTTTCCTTCAAATTCATGAAAAGCCAACATAGTCTCTATGTCTCTTGCATGGCTTACATGTAGCTCTTGTTTGAAACGAGTTGTGGCTTAATTGATATCTTGAGATCTCAGTCTGAACAATGAGTCATGGCTTATTTTTTAAGTGTCTGAGAACTTGGCCCTAAACCCATGAATGTGGAGGAGAGAGGTGAATGGCGAAGATCAGGGCTTATGTAGTAGGGTGAGAGCTGGCCAAGAGAGAAGTGGCCTTGATTGCAAGATTTAGGAGCATAGAGGTTTCTAATCTGTTTTAGAAAAACTTGGGAGTTGGGATTTGGGCTGAGTGCCTCTGTCTGCCAGGGTGCAGGGCCCACCTACCCCTTTACCAAGAAGCAGGGTGGGTCAGATCCATGGAGAGCACTCTTCAGAACTGCAGGGGAATTGGCAAAGTCTGGAAAACTGACCTCCTTTGCTACTGACAACATCTCATTTCCAGTGGGTTTTTGTGTGTGTGTGTGGGGGGTGGGGAGAATAATATGGGAGACGATGATGTTCAAAATGAGGTTCATCAGAGGAGACACTCACTGGGAAGACTTGGCGGTGTTTCTGGGGATGGTTGCTAAGGGAAAGGCCCTCCATGTTCACAGAAATGCCTAAAAATTTAGATCTTTAGCCAGGAAATGGTTAACAAGTGAGCTGCTTGGAGGGTCTCTGCACATGGCTGTGTTTTATAGGACAATATGGAAGATGTTTTTAATAAGGAACCAAATCCTGAACAAGTGGCCAATGGATTATATGGTTTGCATTTGAAAGGTGAAAGGTTGCAGTAAAATACCGTTTCCATAGCTGGCCACGTGGGTTCAGGCTGCCTGTATGCACACAGGGGTGCAAGGCAAGGAGAGGGAGAAAAAAGAAAAAGGCTGTGAGAATGTTTTCCTTGTGAGAGCTGCAGCTTTGATCATTAACCACAACACGTCTCTGCTCTCCCCACCCCATCTCATCCTCCATTTCCATCTCTATCTCATTTTCCTCATGACCTACCCTTCTTTTTTCATCCTTTGTGTTCTGTTTAATCTCCATTACTTCTCCATTCCTGTCATCTCGTTGTCCCTTCTCCCTTGTCCCTGCTTGTTTCCTCGGCCTCCGTTCCCTCTCTACATATGTGTCTGAGTTCCCCTCTTTCCCTCTCTCAGATACGTGTATCACAGCTCCAAATGGATGGTGGCTGGCAATGCCGATTCCCCCGTGCCTCCAAGAGTTTATATACACCCTGATTCTCTAGCTTCTGGAGACACTTGGATGAGACAGGTGGTCAGTTTCGACAAACTCAAGCTGACCAACAATGAACTGGATGATCAAGGACATGTGAGTCAAAGAATCCCAATTCCCTCTTCTGCCCTCTTCCTCTTTTTGCTTGAGAGTTGACTGGCCCCAGGCTTTGGCAAACAGATAAACTAAAAGCCTTTAATTTAGTCACCTTTAAAAAGTAAGCATCAATGTTTCTTTGCTTCCTGTGAAATTTCATTCATCACACATCTAACATTTGGCAAACGTCTGCTACACATCAGGTGGTGTTTGTCAGACAGAAGCTTTGTGCTCCCAGCACTCAGGGTCTGGTAAGGGGGGGGGAACACAGGGCAAATGAAAAAGTGGTGGAAGAAAGCACAACATGTAGTTGAACAATTCACAGGGAAACAATGGATGTGACAGTTCTGGCTGAGTGTCGAGAGAATTTGTAAATTCTGGCTGCATTTATAAGGGAAGAATAGGCCCTAAGGCTTTCCAGGCATAATTGGAGCACCTGATGCTACTAATTTACTTTTTTGCAGTAAAACAGCCACTGAACTTTCACTGAATGACGGGATCCATACTGGGTGCTATGGGAAGATGGGGGCAGCTAAAACCATGGCTCCTCTCTGGAAGAAAAGGACATGTTTCTGAGGAAGGAAGAACACACAGTATTCACTCTCACATGGCATAAGAGACTGTCTATAAATTTACTAACAAAGTGCGAATAATGGCCCATAGAATTTAAAGATAGCATGAGCCCATGCTGCAAATTCGAAGCAGGAGGGAATCACTGTCATGTGGTACAGGGTCTGAGATCATTTAGTGGAGTGATGTCTATGGGTAGCAGAACAGTCATTCGGTATTTACTCAAGTAAGGCAAATATGGCCTCCATATCCCATGATCGGGATGCTGTGCTGTAGGGTTCTATGCAGTGCTCCCCAGTCACTTAGTCCTTCCTGCTGTGGGCAAGTACACCGGTTTCTGTACATTTTACCCCCATCTGCTCTCTTTCTATAATGCTTCTATTCTGTGATTTTATTTGCATGAGAGCTTGAAAAGATGAAGGGATCTTAGAGCCAACCCTGGCTTCATGTTTCCCATTCTCATTTCAGATCATTCTGCACTCCATGCACAAATACCAGCCCCGAGTTCATGTGATTCGCAAGGATTTCAGCAGTGACCTTTCACCCACCAAACCTGTCCCCGTTGGGGATGGAGTGAAAACGTTCAACTTTCCTGAGACTGTGTTCACCACGGTCACAGCCTATCAGAACCAGCAGGTAAGAGGCTGCCTTTGAGAGTCTCCTGCTCTTAAATGAGCTTATTCAGACTGTTGGTGAGAAATGCTTAGTCCTTGTACATGGCACTGAGGAGCAGGGAGTGGGAGACAGCAGGCTTGCAGGGCTCCCAAGGCACTGGTGTTGACAAGGCAGTAATGCCTAGTGGCAGCTGGCATGGTCTAGATTTAGATCAGAGACAAGATCTTTGCCCAAGAAGAGCAAACCTCCTAAGTCATCTTCATATCTCTCTGTACTACCCATGTTCACAATCTCTACCACATCCTGGCAAGTGTTCATCATGGGCGAGTACTGGGGTTTGATTCATTCCTTCCCTTTTTTGTGTATTTCTGGCCCTGGCTGCATTAAACTCACCAGGCCTCTAAAGTTCTATTTAAGACCCACATCACCTACACATTCAGTCTAAATTTATTTATGTGTGGTCACTAGTTACACCCTAAGATGTGTATGTTTTAATGTCAGTAAAATGTCCATTCATTCCATAAATATTGAGTGAGCATTGATACTATTCCAAGCTTAGTAGAGAAATTGAGCAGGTTAAGACTTCTCCCTAATCAGAGTTTTAGTTGAGTGAAAGACATGTATATACATAATGATAATACAGTAGAATAACTTAACAATAGATGTAGACAGGGTATTGTTTGTTTTTTTGGAGAATGAGAGAAGTTTTCCTGGAAGAGCTGATGCTTTTTCTAATGTCGAGACATATTTATGAATTAGCCAGACTAAGGTAAGAGGTATGTGGGTGGGGGAGGGGGAGAGAAACCAAGTCTGGAATTATTGCACATTCTGAACAAGGATTTTTTCTTTTGTATATACAAATGATCTAACTTAGTGCAATTCCCTAAAAGTTGCATGTGAATATCATTTTTGTAAATTAGATTATATTTCATCTTTTGGCAAATTGTCTAATTAGTAGGATCCTATAATGAATCCTTTTCCTTGAAACAAATTTTTTTTGCTTATTTTGCTGGAAAGTCTGCATACTTTTATTTTGGAACTGCTTGGAGCAAAATGAAATCACACTATGATACTCACGCCCTTTTGTATTTGATACTCTGTGTAGTGCTCTCACAAAGAGAGCAGTAGAGGGAAAACACTTATTTACTGAGTATTTATCAAGTGCTTACTATGTGAAGGCGAGTTATATAATGGTTTCATACAGAAGAGTGTTCCTATCTTTCATGATATATCTGAATAAGGGTCCTTAGATGTTCTTACCTTCAGAGGAATTTGAAGTACAACAACCCCTTAGCCTGGTAAATGTTACATTTTCTCAGCAGCTCAGATTCATTCCCAGGTTCAGATTTCCCTTGTGAATGCCATGCTTGATCTAAAGTATAAGAAGAGCTTTAGTTTGCTTTGGGCACTATTGAAATACTATTGAATCCTCTCACACACCTTAGATGGTGCAATTGCACAGGCCATGGAGGATACTTACAGAAAACTCAAACCATCAAGATGTTTCAGGCTCTGATAGAAGATACAGCAGCATCATAGACTTGGTCTTTGGAGTGACTAGAACCATGGGATTAACTGTGGTTGGAAGAGGGAAAGTAGAAGTCTCCGTTCTCTGAATAACAGATTGGATTTTATCCCAAGACTCTTCCTGAAGGCAGAGATGTGGCAATAAATTCTACAACTTTAGAATTTAGTTTGTAGGACAAACTAGAACAGTGATGAGTGAACTCATTGAGATCAGTTCTAGAGGCCAGGAGGGTCACTAGGGTAACTCAGGCTGAAACTAGAAAGCTACAGCTCAAGGTGACAATGAAAGAAAACCAAATGTGGGTACCCGAAACCCTTTCTCTTCCTCAGCCTTCGCTCATAGGCATTTGCCTGTGTCTGAGTACATTCTTATTGTATAAATATTTTGTCTATACCTGGGCTGGGGTGGGGACATGGTGGCTTGGTGGGGGCAGGAAACTGTAATTAAGATAATGGGATTTGGCAACAGACGTACCTGGTTTTATTTCTGACTTTTCTAGTGATGGATTATATGACCTTGGACAATTTTCTTACCCCCTTTCAACCTGTTTTCTGGTCTGAAATGTCCCAGCCCCACGAGTACTAGACAAGGGAACATGTATAAAGTCACTGACACGAGCCTGGCGTCTAATTAGTGGCAGTCAGCTGACATTGCTAAATCACCAGGTCTACAGAGACCTGAAGGAGTGTGGGGAGTAGAGGCCACTTTAAAGAAATTGCTCATTAAGGAGTAAGGGGATTGTTGGGAATTGGAGAAGTCGCCTTGGCTCTTGAAGAAATTATAATCAATAGGTAACTACTTTGATCTCTCTGTTCTCATGTCATATTGGTGAATTCATGATATGTAGACATTCAAAATAGATGAGTCATACTCAGTTCTGCCCATTTTGAAGTCAAGATAACAGCTTGTTTAACAAGCTTCTTGTCCCCAGATAAATCAACCAGCGTGATTGTTTAACATTCCCTTTGGCTGTGTAGATATGATTTAATGTAATGCAGTGACTTGTAATAAAGCAAACTAACCTCAGCTCTTTTCCCCAGGAACCTTGAGTCTGCACCCTGTAAGTCAGAGCTGTGAGCTAAACAATCATTTTCAGGCTTGTCTTGAAGAGGCCAGGTAGCATAAACTGTTCTCTTTGGTGAGCTGTATTCACTGATTACTGTGTTTTTATTGCCTCAACCTTCCAGCATGAGGGCAATTAATATTTTATGGCAAAATTGTTTACTTCTTATATGTCTTTTTAAGGGGGTGGTTAGGAGTTCTATGAGAGTAAAAGGGGAAAAAAGCCAGTGGTCGAATCATTGTTCTCAGGAGCTTGCTTAGAGGAACACAATGAAGAAAGGACAATAGAGGGAGGTGGGCAAGGTTACCCAGTTTCCTAAGGGGAGGCAGTGTCTTGTTCACACACAGCAGTGCACGTGACATTTGGAGACCAAGCTTTAGTCCTAAATATTCCACTGGCTACCTGTGTCACTCTGAGCAAGTCACGTTTTCTTTCTGGGCTCAGGTTTATTCTTCAAGAAAATGAGCAGTTGGCCTATACTTTCTAAGGTCTGTGTTAGCTCTGAATTTATCATTTCTCCTTCCTTTGTTCCTGCATGCTTTTTAATGAGGGTTGGGAGCCATTTGTTGTTATTGAACAGAGGCAGTTGACACACAATTTTCAAGTATTGAAAATTATGAGTGTTCATGTCTGTGCACTCATTTAAACCTCTACAATATCCTGGACCAATGCAGTTCTAGTGAGTCCACCCTTGAGAGGTGGGGGCATGGTGTTTTGTTGCTAGTAAACAAAATATTCCAAACTATACTATTCATTTGTGACTCCTCCCGGTCCTCTCCATTGTTGAAGTCTGTGTTTCATGTTGACTTCCATCTTGTTGCTCAGGCTGCACATCCAACTCTCTCACATCTAATCTGCCATTAAACTCTGCTTCTTCTACTGATGGAATATTTTCTCCTTTCTAATCTCATTGCTTCTGCTCTTGTTCTGGACCTGACTTCCCCACCCCATGGCCTACCCCTCCTTGCCCACCCCACCTTAGGCTGTTGCAATAGCTTCTGGCGGAGTCACCTGGGCTGCAAGCTTATTGTCTTACCAGCCATCACGTGTGTTCATTGCCGGTTGGGTCTTCCAACAGCACAGCTCTGACATCATCATTTCTGTGTCAAAAATTGTCCATGAATCCTCAGTGCTTCGAGAGCCAAGACCAGGATCCCGAGCCTGTCAATTAAGGTCCTCTGTGGCTGATTACCAACTACATGTCTAGGCTTATTTTTCATTAATTCTCATTAGGCATCTCCAAAAGTTCAGCAATCTGGTTCAAATTTTACTGCTTGTACTTTGTAGCTGCCTTACTTTTGCATGTGCTGTCGTCTCTGCAGGAATGCCCTTCCCCTTCATCTTTATCTGTTTAGATTCCTTCTGTTCTTTAAGTTTGGTGCATGAACAATCCCGTACCACCTTCTTTACATTTTCAGCTGCAAACGAGCTTTCCTCGTGGAACTATTAGTGAGGGTACCTCTCTCATGACCCTCTCATTTGCTGAGTTGTATGTGTCCAGTCTTCCTCTCGATGTTTTAAGCTTTTTGAAAATGATGGCTGCATATTCAATAAAAATAGTGTGACATGGTGGAAAACATCAGGTTGTGAGTATTGCTTTTGACAAATCACCCCACATCAGTATTCGCATTTGTGAGTTGGTGGTTTGGTCTGAGTCAGTGCTCCTTGGTCATAGAACATAGAACATACTGTCAATGAAGAAGATATTTATGGTTCACTGAAAAGATGAGGAAAAATAAAGACAGTATAGATAGGGACTTTTTATACATGCAAACATTCACTTTAGTAGACCCTACATTTAAAAATTTTGCCCTTTTTACTTTTTTGATGTGAAAATTTCATGTGTTTTATGAACTAATGATGACAGAAGTTAGTAGGTGTTAACTCTCTTCACTTGGTAGAATAAAAAATTGGAATATCAGTGTCGATCTTTCAAATATCGGAAGATATTTGAATTGGAAGGGGGAAGTAGAATTGGCCAATGAAAAATGTTTAAAGACTTATTTATTTATTTATTTATTTAGAGAGAGGGGAAAGGAGGGGAGAAAGGGAGGGAGAGAAACATCAATCAATTGCCTCTCACACACCCCCAACCAGGGACCTGGCCTACAACCCAGCCACTTGCTCTGACTGGGAATCAAACCAATGACCTTTTGGTTCACAAACCAGTGCTCAATCCCCTGAGCCATACCAGCCAGGGCCAACCTATGACATTTTGAAGCCCAGAAGCCACTAATTAAGATGAAGGACACTTTTATCTCCATAATTCTCAGACATTTGTGTCCGTTCCATAGTGCAGAGCTCTGGGTATATCCTTGGAAAATGATTGAATGACTGATTAGCCGACACTCTTCTACTACCAGTTTCTTTATATATCTGTGGTTCTGCTTTTTTGGGTATAAATAGTGAAGTGTGAAGAAAGACTTTCTATGTCATGAGACATCTTATGCTTTTCTTTCCCCCTTTCCCATTTCTTCCTCCCACCCTTGCTGACTGACCCATAGACTCCTGGGGCTGCTAGCATACTGAAGTTATTATTACTGTTATTTGCTCTCAGAGTGCCAACTTGGCGGGCCTGTGGCAGAGAGGAGGGTGCACTGTGCCCAGAATCTCATCGTGGAGAAAAAGGTGGTAAAAGTTGGAATAAAGGTGACTCCACACTTTATGCTTTTTCTTGGAAGAGGCCGACGCCAACATGTCCTCATGGAATTAGCAGGAAATTTCCATTACAGAATCTTTGTCTTCTCTAAGGAAAAAAGCCTGCTGAACCTTGAGGGTTTTTTTTTTCCTCCCCAAACAGGAAACTAGATTTCAAAAAGATACAGCCCCATTCTCCTCAGGTAACACAGTCTTATTTCTGGATGAGAATTGGCTCCATGAACCAGCTAGAAAGTCAGCCACCACAGCCAGGTTTGTGTAAGCAAATCTAACAGGATTTCTGAGTCACTCATTATATCTTAAACTAGTGAGCCAGTTTTACCCTAACTTTCCAGTCACATTGGTATAAAAACTTTTTTTTCACACAGGCTAAGGTTTGGTTTCTCAAATTCCAGTGGAACACTCTTCAAACAATAATGGTAAAAAAATAAGACTAAGAGAGTGTTTATTAGGGCAGGGCCTTTCATCCTTGGTTCTATAAAATCATACTCAAGATTTTATTTTCTTTGTAGGTTGTGCAATTTAGGTCTGCATTGTGCATTCTGGGATATAATTTCTTTAACTGCCTCTATGTTAGTAGGCAAAAAAGTCAGTGAAAATGATTAAAATGAATGGTGCCAGGCAAGCAACCACCCCCTCATGGGCCGCAGTCTTCAATAACTCAGATGACAAATCAGTGTAAGGTTATGGAAATAAAATCAGTGAAGAAAAATACTTTCACAAACTCTGTACTTTCTGTGTCTCCTCAGACATTTAAGACTTTGTCTGTATTACCTACAATGAAAGCAAATAGGATTGAGGGAATCATTTGGTCTGTAGTCTCTAAGGCTCAATATGGCTTTGGGATTGATCCCTGCTTCCTACATCATCCTTCACTTATTCATTCAGTCATTGAACAGATATTTACTGAGCATGAATACCATGTCATATTATATTCTGCCTAATAAAATGATCTGTAAAATAGACAGAGTTCCTACCAGAAGACCAGGGGAGAGACAAATAGTAAATATGTGAGCAATAAAATAAATGTATAATTGCCAACTGGGTTAAGAGCCAAAATGGAATTAAAGAAGATGCAGTTTGAGAGAATAGAGGTATGCTATTTTGGAGGGGCATTCAAGGAGGACCTCTCTTAGGAGATAACATTTAGAGTGAGACTTAGGAGGAAGAGGAGGGGTCAGCTGTATGAAGAGTATAGAAAAGAATGTTTTTGTCTGGAGAGAGAGTGCGTGTGAGGTGCCAGAGCAGGGAGTGAGCTTGGCACATTCCAGCACTGAGAGCAGCCCAGGTGGGCTGGAGCCTATGAACCAGAGACAGAGGAGTGTCGGTGGGGACAGAGAGGTAGACAGGAGCCAGGGCAGGCCAGTCCTGATAGACCAGGCATGGAGCTTAGACTGCATTCTGAGCATAGCAGTAGCCACAGCAAAGAAGGACACAGTCCAGTGGCTTGTTAACAAAGACCACCTTGGTTGGTGTGTAGAGGAGATTGGGCATGGACAAGAGTGGGAGAAGGGAGATCAGTGCGAAGGATATTTAGAGTAGTTTAGTCAGTGGATGATGGTGACCAGGTCTACAGTAGGGAGATAGAGACAGACAGGCATATTAGGGTCTACTCAATAAACATAGTTATGGGGTAGGGTTGAAAATTAACTACTCACATTTAGCTCATGTGCTACCTTCAAAGTGAGACCTCAGAGCCCTTCCACCTGGACTAATCTGTACCTTCTCTAAGCTCTCACGGCACTCTGCCTTTATGGCAAACCTGATCATTTTCTGTTTCACGTTGTAATTATTAGTGTCTATCTCTGCTTTTTTCTTCTAGATTATAAGCTTCCTGGGTTGGGGGAAAGCCGATACACAACCACGTACTCACTGTCCAACATTCCGCCAGCTGTGCCACCTATCACATTACTTCGTACACAAAAGACACTTGATAATCCACAATGAGTAGTAGAACAACACTTTTAATAAAGTTCTCCGAATCTCACATTAAAAGCTTTGAAACAAGTATAGAGGTGTTGTTTTTCCTAACATTTGATGGCATTTGCCTAGTAGATCTCCATGCAGGCTCACTGGCCTGAGATCCAGTGAATTGTGGGAAATGGGTTTTCAATCTTTTCTCCCAGGCCCATGATACAGAATATTGTTATATTTACAGGGTCTTAGGAGGCCCCCAAAACATGGCAGCACAATCATATATCAGAAACCCCTATCAGAAATGAGTCGACTTGAAAGAGAAAATAAAATATTATAACCCCAACTTGAAAAGAAAATGTGGTGTGTGGTTTATTGCTGTGGATTATGAAGAAAGAAAGAACTGATGTTAAGTCAGAAACAGAACACAGTGACAGTCTTTAAACTCAACTCGGTATCCACGTGGCAGACAGTGGGTTTTGGAAAGCTGAAGCTTCAGGTTCCTGCTCTGGTCTATAAAATGGATGTAAAATTGCTTTCGCTGCATTATTAGTGCTATATTATTAGTATGCCATTCTAGAGGGAAGGAATGTTGAGGGGAAAATAACTTTGGTACTTTCAAGTTTGTTCATCAGAATCTCATGCTGAATTTCAGACTTTTAAAGGCTGTGGCTTTGGGAAATTCCATTCTGGTGGAAGATTTGCAGCATTGGAAAGAACTTGAACATCCTAGTGATAAGTTCTGCAATTATTGGGGAAAAAGATGATCTCAAATAAGGAGATTCTTTTTATTTCTAGAATTACTTTTCATCGAGAGTGCCTTCCCTCTTTTACTGAGCTCCCTAGCCCCCGCCCCTATTGCTTGAATGTGTCTATTACACGAATGTAGTAAGTCATTAACATCAGGTTTAGACATGTAGTTATTGAAATGTGTCCCATGACCAAGGCTGAAAGTAGAAACACTAGAGTGTATATGGAATTTGTTGGTCAGGCTTGTTCTAGCTTAGAGGCACTGGGATAATATGTACAGACACTGCAGAGATTGAGGGAGCTAGGATAGGATGAGATGAGTACTTATACACTGAGTGGAGGTTGACCAGATGGCTCCTAGGGACTTGTTTAAGCTGGGCCATGCAGTTTGCATTGGGTTTGCTTACCCTTATGAAGCTGCCTCTCTATTTCTCCTGATTCTCTTGCGAGCCTTGGAGATTGGAAGAGGCACACTGCATTCTGCTGCATCCAGTCACATATTTTCAGACAAAAGAATAGATACTTCCTGTGTCTTTTATGAGAGCATTTCAGGTCATTAAAGGAACAACCCTAGTGACTGAATGGCACAACTTAAGTAAAATGGTTAATGCAGTCAATGATTTGGATCCTTTAGGCGAGCAGGTTGTCTTGGTGATTCCACCTGATTGGATTGGCTGAATCCATTCATTCATTATTTACTCACTTGCTTACTCCTTCATTCAATAAACACTTTTCAGGGATCTCCTGTATGTCTTGTACCATGGACCCAGTTTTCTATTTCAATGGTTTTGTTTTGTTTATCATCATCTGAGGCAAGAAAGGTGAGTAAAAAAAAAGAGTTTACAGAGTGATACTGGGAAAACCTTGTTTTTTAGGGAGATGTGGGTCAGGTGGGTCAGACATCTGTGTGCCAGGCCCTAGTCCTGTATCAACTTCAATTTAAATCTCCAACTAAAAAGAAACTAAATAAAAACACTAGCTGTTATTACTAGAGTGATTGTTGTTAATTTTTTAGGAGCAACCAAAAAGGAAGTCCATTAATGAAAATACAATTCATGCCTTTTTTGTTGGTTTCCAGATCACCAGATTAAAAATTGACCGGAACCCTTTTGCTAAAGGATTCAGAGATTCTGGAAGAAACAGGTAAGAACAATTGGGAAAGAGACTTATGGGTATTTCTTTTCTTTATGACATTATCCCCACTATGCCCCATTGGTGGCATTTGGCTCCTGCTTTTTTGGAAAACACCTGCAGGTTAAGCCACTGTGCAGAGAAATAGACAGCGGATCAAAGAGTGAAAAAGCTGTCTCTGCCAAAGGCTGAATTATCCAGATTCTTTAACACACTAAATTAAACTAGCAGATCAAATCCCTCATGGTAGTTTTCCCTCTATATCCTACTTGGTAATTCAGTTGCTGAAAACAAATTTGATGTGATTTATGATCATCAAAAGATTGCTACTTTTCCTGAAAAGCATCTATATGTGCCTACAGCGCCTACAGTGATACCTCATTATCAGGAAAATACGTAATTGTGGACAAGTAAATTTTTCACAAAATTATTACCTTTAAGAGCTGTAACTTTATTTTAAAAAGCAACCATTTTTTTTTCTGGGAAATATTTCCAAAACACATTAGATGTTTTCTGCTTTATTAAAGAGGGTTTCTACAGCACCACCACTGTGGGTGACCTAACATCATCATCATGAGTAGGTTGTTGTACAGTGAGACCCTTAGGAATTGCTGCCGTGTATTGAACTCTTCTCTCCTGTTGTAAATGGTCTTTGAGACTATAGTGTTTTTCTAGCTAATTCTTCTTTCTCTCTGAATCCCTCCTTATCTAAAATTACATGTAAAACCAGTTACCCACAGAGAGTTAGGAGAGAACTGGAATTGCCAGGGAAACCAGATTAATCTCAGGTTATTCAATCAAAAAAATTTTTTTTTTAATTTTTTTTATTGATTATGCTGTTACAGTTGTTCTATTCCCCCCTTCATTCCCCTCCACCCTATCCCCCCATCCCCACCATTACCCCCCCTTTAGTTTATGACCATGTGTCTCAATTCCTTTAGATTCTATATTTCCCATGCTATTCTTGCCCCCCCATCTATTTTCTATCTACTGTCTATGCTACTTATTTTCTGTACCTTCTCCCCCCATCTCCTCCTCCCACTCCCCTGTTGCTAACCCTTCTTGAGATCTTCATTTCTATGTTTCCACTCCTGATCTAGCTGTCCTTTTAGTTTGCTTTTGTTTTAGGTGTGGTTGTTAATAACTGTGAGTTTGTTGTCCTTTCACTGTTCATGTTTAACTTCTTTTTCTTAGATAAGTCCCTTTAACATTTCATATAATAAGGGCTTGGTGATGATGAACTCCTTGAATTTGATCTTATCTGAGAAGCACCTTATCTGTCCTTCCATTCTAAATGAAAGTTTTGCTGGATAGAGCAATCTTGGTTGTAGGTTTTTAGATTTCATGACTTGGAATACCTCTTTCCAGGCCCTTCTTGCCTGTAAGGTCTCTTTTGAGAAATCCGCTGACAGTCTGATGGGGACGCCTTTGTAGGTGACTGTCCCCTTAGCTCTTGCTGCTTCCAGGATTCTCTCCTTCATTTTAATTTTGGCTAATGTAATTATGATGTGCCTTGGTGTGTTCTTTCTCGGGTCCAACTTCTTTGGGACTCTCTGAGCTTCCTGGATTTCCTGGAAGTCTATTTCCTTTGCCAGATTGGGGAAATTCTCCTTTATTATTTGTTCAAATAAGTTTTCCACTGGTGGCTGTGCCTTTCCCCCTTCTGGTACCCCTATAATTCGGATGTTGGAGCGTTTAAAGATGTCCTGGAGGTTCCTAAGACTCTCCTCATTTCTTTGAATTCTTGCTTCTTGACTCTTTTCTGTTTGGCCATTATTTGCTTTCTTCTGGTCCACTCCATTGATTTGAGTCCCAGTTTCCTTTTCATTGCTATTGGTGTCCTGTGCAATTCCATTCATTTCAATTAGTTTCGCCTTCATATATTTGTCTAATTTGTTGGTATAATCAACCAGTTCTGTGAGGATCCTGATGACCAGTGTTTTAAACTGTGCGTCTGAGAGTTTTGCTATTTCTTCATCGCTTAGGTCTATGAGCTCAGGGATTTTGAGAATTTGCGACATTTTTGGTCTGTTCTGGCCCTTTAAGTGTGAGAAGCGGTGCCTTGGACTCCCAGGTCGCTGGGTTGTGACGCTGTATGTGGAGGTGTGGTCAGAGCAGGGAAATGGCAGCGCTCTCCACTGCCACTTGCTGCGGGGACCCGCTGGGCCCTGGTCCAACCGCCCACTCCCTCACCTGTCCCCCCGCGCACAAATGCGTGACCACAGTCAACACGCAGCACCACTCCCCCGCTGTCTCCCCCGTGGTCACTCACTATGTCCAACCCTGTGCCTGGATTCCACGCCTCAGTCCGGCTGACCGAGACCTGTGCAATCCCGCTTCACCAGCCGCTGGTTTTGCCCGTTACTGGTCAGGCTGGAGAATTTGTTGTTAATGGACTTCCGAAAAGTTCAATTTTCCGTGTTCTGGCTGTGTTTTCTGTTGCTAATATTTAGTTATCTCTAAACTTGGTTGTGTGAGAAGGCACGGCACATCCACCTATGCCTCCATCTTGGTGGAAGTCCTCTCAATCAAAAAATTTAATTTTACATAAACCACACTGAAGCAGCAAATGGGATATATAATTCTTACAAAGATGTAGGCTTTGTGAGAACTGTTTACTTTGTGTTAAGACATTTTCCAAATTGGAGGTGTTTCTTTACACTGGAATGACCCAGGTTGCCAGGAGTTATCTTTGCTATTTTCTCTGCAAGAGTTTTCAGATAAACTAGTTTTATATTTAGAATCACTTCATAAACTATGTGGCCCCTTATATTTGAATCCAGATTTATGATAAAAACTGGTCGTAGTGATCATTTCTTTTACAAAATGATTTATGAAAGTATGGTACTTCTTTATGAAACCCTTATTGTGTATTTCAAATATACTTAGAAGTCTATAAAATTTTATTTACCTCAGAATTTTTTAAGGTCACACCCATTGAATGAAGTAAAATCCACTTAAACTTCCAGTTTGCAGATGACAAAATTGAATAATATGTTTTAGGTCAAGCAACTAGTTGGTGATATAGCTCAATGAGAACTCGGGCATATGGATTCCAGGCCAAATACTTTCCTCTTCAATGAGTCTTTGTTTAAAATGAGACAAAAGCCTTTGCTTTCAAAATTTAGCCAATGAAGAACAAATAGCTGTTCCTTTCATGTCAGAGGGACAGACCTCTTTTTCCCAATGAGTTTCTGTGTGTCTTTGAGCTGTTTCTTGCTGCGTCCTTGTCAGGACTGCAACCCCGGGCCCACCGAGGACCTTGTTAATGATAGGAGCCACGGTAGAAGCTGTGCTTTCATAGAGAAGCCTCTAGAGTATTTCAGATCTTTAACTTGGAGTCCAGGCATGGATCTCAGGGGTACTGTGAGTTTCCAGGTATTGTAAGTAAAATTGTGTGTGGGTGAGCCTGTATGCATTTCCTAGGGAGAGCTCTGTAGCTTTCTTCAGGTTATCAACAAGGTCCATAACTAGAGGTAAGAATTTATGCTCTCAACACAACTCTTTGTCCTGGGGCCATCCAGCCCTGCTGTCTTTAGTTATTCAAATACTTTCTTTTTCTTTTCTCCTGTCTCTCCAGTGGTGTTTAGAGTGCTCATTTTCTTTTTTGTGCCCAAGCTTTTATTTTTTTCTTTTCCTTACTCTCCCATTGGAGTCCTTGTTTTTCAGAGGCATGGCCTGGAACACAAAATTAGAATAGATCGGCTGCATGGACCAGCATTACAGCTATGGCGTGGGAATTGCATCCCCATTTTAATGGACTTGAGAATATGGCCATGTATCTTGAAGTATTTGCCTCTGGTTAGGAAGTTGTGATGACATCTCAGTTCAAGCCCTGAGGTCCTCCTGTCTCCTCAAAGGACAAAAGGGACCTTCAAACATCCCGTGGCCTTGGTCTGTTTTCACCCTTACGGCTGGCGAGTAGCTTACAGCTCCACAACTGTCTTTCCCGCCTGGTGAACGGCCTATTGTAAGGACTCCAGGAAAGTAGAACTGTGGGTCCCCAGTAGCCCATTTCAGTGCTTTATCTAGTTATTTTTCTGAGAGTATGGAAAGTCCTCATTAAGTCCCATTAAAACCTGCAGGCTATTTTAAGTAATATTAATAATTTTTGAAGTTATCTGAGATTGAACACTTACTGTGTTCCAGACCTTTTACTTCTATTCCTTCCAGTCTTCGAAACAACCTGTATTTTACAAATAGGGAAACTGAGGCTTAGAGGGCCTAAGCGGCTTCCCTAATGTTACAGAGTGGAGCTGGAACGGGGACCAAAGCCCAAGTCCCCCTGACTTCAAAGTCTGTGCACTTTCTGTTCTATCATGCCAACAGTTTAAACCAGACCTATTTTATGTTCAACAGGTATAGAGAACAGAATTCTTTCTCTAAAAACCCTTCATCTATTTAAATATATTACTCAAGTACCCAGAACCTTCTATTTTCCAAATAAAACAATCTGAATGTTCTCTGCCTATCTTTATGCACTTTCCCAGGACATTGTCAGCCGCTTTCTCCACCCCTGTGAACAAGAGGTTCCCAAGTAGAGGACAGGAAGTCAGGCTGAACTTCCCTAACAGGTGAAACAATGACACCGAAGTCACCTGTCTCACAATGGGGCAAGGATGAATCATTAAAGGTAGAAGCCAGTTTATCCTCCGGTCTCCAGGAAGCCAGGCTAAAATAAACTTGGTGCAAGTACAGTGGCCCTTGTATTTTCTCCTTGAGATGCTCAAAATTACCTGGCTATCACAATTTAATCCTCACTGGCTGCCTGCAGGATCTTGTGAGGGCAAGCATTATTAAGGTCATTTTGTAGAATGGAAGGATTGGGGATGTAGAGGATTGTCTATAAGTCTCCAGGTAGTTCTGTGCCATCATCAGAGCCCAGTTCCTTGCCCTCCAACCTGTGCCTTGTCTATTGTCTTTCTCCTGCTAATTGAGTTCTTACAAATCTGTGATGTTCCCCATGTCTGTTAGACATCAAATGACTCATACAGATGAACATGGTTTGTCGA